CACACACACACACACACGGACAGACATTCTATTTTCACTTTCCTAGTTAATGTGAAATGGTGTCACACAGTGGTTTTGATCTGCATTTTTCTAATGATGAATGGTATTGAGTATTTTAAAAATGTTTATACTGATAATTGGTATGTCTTTTTGAAGAAATATCTATTTGAATCCTTTGCCTGTTCCTTTATATAGATTATTTGTTAGAGTAGTTTCAAATTTCCAGAAAAAACTGAGGAGAGGGGTCCAGAGAATTCCCGTAAGCCTCCTTCCACATACACAGCTTTCTCAACCATTAACGTCCATACCACTATGACATGTTGTTACCATTGAAGAGTCTAACTTGACATTACCCAAAGTCCATAGGTTACCTTAGGGTTCAATCTTGATGTTATAGATGCTGTGGGTTTGAAAAAAATGTATAATAACCTGTATTTACTATTAACATAGCAACTAGAAAATTTTAACTGCCCTGGAAATCCTCCATGCTTTACCGTTCATTCCTTTCTTCCCCAAATGTATAAAAATTGCGGATCATTTTACAGTCTCTGTAGTTTTGCCATTTAGAGAATGCCATATAGTTGGAAGTGCACAGTAAGTAACCGTTCAGATTGGCTTGCTTCGTGTAGTAACATATATTTAAGGTTTCTGCACATCTTCTCGTGATTTGATAGTTTTTCCACACTGAATAATGTACTATTTTCTAGGCGTACCACAGTTCACTTATCCGCTCACCTACTAACGCTTATCTTGTTTGCTTCCAGGTTTTGGAAACTATGAATAAAGCTGCTATAACCATTCTATTTAGATTTTTATGTGGACAGGAGTTTTCAACTCATTTGCATAGTACAAAGGGGCCAGATAGATGGGTTACATGGTAAGAATGTGTTTTGTTTTGTAAGAGACTTCCAACATGGCTGAGCTAGTTCACCTTCACATCAGGAATAAATGAGAGTTTTTGCTTTTTTGGGTTGTTGTAGTTGTTTTGAGACAGTATTTGACTACACAGTCCACGCTGGCCTTGAACTTGTGATCCTTCTGCCTCCGCCTCCCTAGTACTGGGATTACAGGTGGGCCCCAACATCCCTGGCTCTTTGCCCATTTTTATTATTTATTTATTTACTTATTTAAAAAATTTTTTTTGGTGGTGGTACTGGGGTTTGAACTCTGGGCTAGAGTACGCACTCTACTAGTTGACTCACACCCCCAGGCCTTTTTTGATTTAGTTATTTGTCAGATAGGGTCTCATGTTTTTCCCTGTGGCCGACCTTAGGCCATAATCCTCCTACCTGTGTCTGCCAGTAGCTGTGGTTAGAAGCATGTGCCACCATGCCTAGCTTAGTTGTTGAGATGAAGTCTTGCTAATTTCTTTCTTGGACTTGTCTCAAACCTTATCCTATGGATCTCTGCCTCTTTAGTAGCTGGGATTACAGACATGTGCCACCACATCTTTGCCATGTTTTAAACTGAGTGATTAGTTGCTTTAAATGTGTTACAGAATAGTTTCATACATACAGTCTGGACACAGTCCCTCATCGGTTTGATTGCTTAGTCTCCCAAGGTTTTCTGGCCTTGATGCCTGATGAGCCTTGGTCATATGGAGAAGCATTCTGCTGTGGCACATGCCACACCATACTGGGAGTTTGAGCACTTAGTGATTCACCTCTAGGTCCATCTACAAAGCAAGACAGACAACTCCTTCTGCTCTGTGGATCTACCTCCAGAGAGGTAAAGTTGGGAAATTCAGGCTCTTCTGTCACTAAGCCTTGTATAATTTTTTTGTTTGGGCCTAACCTTTTTGCCCTACATCATTCAGGTTACCCTAAGTCAATTAGTAATGGAGTTTTAATACTCAGAAACTAGTCTTTAAAACTTAGACAGTTTTCTGAAATGTTTGCCTTTGGGATCAGCTTTAAAATCCAAAAGCGAGCATCTGATTCCTTTGCTGTCCCTGTCAGAATGGGAACAGGAGCCAGGGGATAAGGATGCCATACTGTACAATATTATTTTGAGATATAAGACATTGCCCCAAACATGCTTGAGAATAAACAAGTGAATGGGTAGTGAAGCTAAGTGACAAAAAATGACCCAAGAGGCATTCTGAAGCATGAACCACCTCTTGAGTCATAGTCTGGCTCCACAATCTTGGTTCTCTATGGGTCTAGGTTCATTAAAAAGTCAGAAACACAACTGGGATGGGAGTACTCAAAGAGGAAATCAGTTTTAAAGATACTGTGGCATCTCATAGAGCTCCAGAGCTAGAAAGCAGTTAGGTCTGAGAGGTAAATGGAGTCAGAATGTCAAATGTAGTTACTGTCTTCTCCTTTTTTGGGTTTATAAGATTACTGAAAACTCCCAACTTTTGCATTAACCAGTGGCATTTAAGCTAACCTTTTCTTTATAAATTGTACTTCCAGACACTCAGTTTTCTGACGTAAAATCAATGCAGTGTGACTGGGGGTGGAGTGGGGAGAGGGGTCTGGCTCTAATAACATAGGCATTTCCATGGTTACAGGCAGATGATGTGGTAGTTAACAGAAAAGGAAATCTTTTCTTCCCACCCCCAAAGCAGTATTCTAGGCAAATCTGATGTTCCAGATTGCAGATAGCTGGAAGCCATTTTAGAACAGCACACAAAGACCTCCAGTATCTCTCTTTAATCTATTTATTCTACCTTTTCTGTCAGCCCCTGTATCTCCCTATACTAAATCAAGCAGCAGTAAGCTTCTTTGTTTTCCTAGAATGACCATATTCTTTCATGCCTATGGGCTTTTGTACATTTTTTCTTTGTTGGGAAGACCTCCATAGCCAGACTGGCTCTTTTACTAGCTTTTTTAGGGCCAACTCAATCTTACTTTGGAAGCATTCTTACTCCCCCAAAAGCAGAGTTTATTGTTCTTCATGCTGTTCCTAGACTTTTATCACATTTGATTGTAGTTATTGTCTAATCTGTCTCTTGCCTCTAAAAAATATGGACATTTTAAAACTGGATTATGTCTTGATCATATTTGTCTCAATGGTGGCTTACATTTGGGTGGTACATCACAGAGGTTTAATACATTCTCATTACTTTCATTGTTTTTCTCCTAGGCCCAAGTTATCTTAGCTTCCTGATAATGTATCAGCGAATTGAGAAAATAAAGCTTGATTTATTTTTATCTTGGGCATTGTCCCTTTAAATTAAAAATTGACTATGTAAATGTCATTTTATTTTATTAGTTCTCTCATGAGTTAAAATAAATATACCCTTCATGCACATAATAAAAAATATAACACACACCTACATCTATCCACACTCACAACTCCATTAATATAGCAGCAGTGAAGGCTAACAAAAACCAAGTTTAAAAGTTCCCCGAGGTTAGTTCGAGAAGAATTAACTTAGAAGATAACACACATGTACAGGAAATCAATGCATGTCAACTCCCTGTACAGCTATCCTTATCTCAACTAGCAAAAACCCTTGGTTTTTCCTATTATTGCTTATATTCTCTCTTCAACAAAATTAGAGATAAATTGAGAATAGTTTCTGCCTGGTAGCCAGGGGTAAGGGAGGGTAAGGGGGGGGTAAGAGAGGGGACAGGGGGAAGGGGGGAGAAATGACCCAAACATTGTATGTACATAAGAATAAAATAAAAACTAAAAAAAAAAGGAGAAAAAAGGTCAGAATATGCTTGCTAAGAAAATATTACTCCAAACATCATTCATGAACTGACTCGTTTTCTTAAGAAAAAATAAAGAACAGAAATACTTGGAAAAAAATTCCCCGAATATTGAAATTTTGGGCTTAGTGTACAAATACAAACAGCAGAGATAAAATTCTGGTTCTACTTTTGGCAGTTTTTAATTGCTACTTTTCAATCCCAAATATAAAATTGTCATTTGGCATTTTTCTGCCTTTTCTTTCAGCCATTTCTTCTCTGTTGCCTCCTTCCAAGACTAAAGATGACTTTGGAAGCCGGAATAGTGAAAATGAGCAGTCTTTTGTCCTAATTCTTCCTCTTCATTTATCTTGTTTCTTCAAATCTATTTCAGTCTGTCCTTCCTCTATTCTCCTGGCTTCACATAAGGTGATACTTTTATGTTTGTCTTACTGTACTGCAATTTGTGAATTCATGGACAGAGAAGGTATCTTTTTTAAACACTCGGATTTTTAAAAATAAAATTTACAAAGTTGATTATTACAAATGTAAATTAATGCTTCAAATCCCCCAAGTTTCTACGTTACTCTGCCTGCCAGGTAATTATCTCTGAATCTTGGCAAAAATGCATCGAAATTTCTACTTAAGATTTGCAGGGTGAAATCTAAGTTTACCTTTTTCACTCTCATCCAAATCTGAAAAAAATCAAATCAATCAAAATCTTAACACGCATTTTAAAGAGAGTGTGAATGAGAGTGGACGCTTTGAACAGGGATTAGAGCGTTTTCTGAAACTCAAAGCCAATAGCCAATGTCAATTAGTAACTGTATCTGTCAGGCACAGGGTATGAGAGACAACAGGAGAGGTTAAACACGGAAGGGCTACATTTTTGAAGGTACAGATTTTAAAACGAAAGGACCACTGGAAACGGCATTGTAACTGAGACTGGAAAAGAACCAATCCAGGCCCAGCGTGGACACCGCAGGCGGCTTCCTCCTCCCAGGCCGCTGCAGCTGATTTTGGGAAGCAGCTTCATTGGCTCTCACCCTCCCCACGGCCTCCTCAGCCCTTCTTTCGCATGCGCAAAACGAGCATCAGCCTTTCGGCCTTTTCGCCGCCTTCCCCGCCCCCCGAATTCCCACTTCCTATTGGTCCATCCCACCGGGCAGCCTCTCTGACCCGGCCAATGTGGAAGCCGTGTCGGGTGCTCCGCCCCCTTTGCCGGCAGCGTGGGATTGCGTGTCTGCGAGCCCCGGCAGCAAGAGGGATGGCGGCTGCGGCAGTGACTGCAGGTGGGCTCTGGAGGCTCCGTGTCGCCGGAGCAGGGGGACACTGGCGTTGGCTGCGTAGTGCCGCGGGACGAGCGCGGGACTTCCTGCAACCTGCTTCCGCTGGCGAAGATGTGGCCCAGAGGCGGGAGGTGGCTCACTTCACGTTCCAGCCCGACCCCGAGTCCCGGGAGTACGGTGAGTCCCGGGGCTGCCCCGTCCCTTCCCGCTGCAGCCCGCAGATCTCCCGCGTCCCGGCTCGGTCTCCTCTTCAGAGGGCTTGCAGCCTCTGGAAGGCCTGAGGTGCAGAGCTGGTGCCCAAGGAACGCCTCCCTTTCTCGGGTCTCCTTCCAGCTTTCCCACCCTAGGCCCAGGCGTTGTTACAGCTTGTCGGGGACTGGGCACCTCTCTTTAGGCATTTCAAAGGAAGAGTTTTTTCTTTTCTTTTTATTGCTTTAGTTTTTGCTTGAGGTAGGTAAGAATAAACCCAGGGGCCAAGTAACTGAATTGATTTTCCCCAAGGTCATAGAACGGGTTCTTCTTAAGAGATGGGAAAGAATCCAGGTTTTCTATCTGAGTCTAACTCTGAGTCCGTGCCCAGGGTCAGCCTCAGACCACCATCCTGATAGTCCACCTCGTACATACCTGGGATTACACCTGTAGGCCACCATGCCCAGTTTATCCCCATTTTTGAATGAAGAAACTGAGACACAAAAGATTAAGCTTCTATGTTTAGACGTTTGAACTTGCTGTGGAGCCACATTTCTTTCTCAAGAAGTCTGGCTCGGTCTGGTTGCAAAGTGCACTCCTACCCATTCTATTATACTGTTACATTATTCAGATCCGCTCCAGTTTCCTCACACAGCGCTTTGCCCCGCAAAGCTGTTCTTCCCAGAAGACAATGCTTCTTTTGTGCCTCATTCCAGTTGCTACTGTCCTTCACTTTCATTGTAATGTACCCACCTTCAATTTCTTCTGCATATTTATTGATCACCTGGGAAGTTGATTCATAGTTTTACTTTTTCTTATTTTTGGCCACACTGGGATTTGAACTCAGGGCCTCACACTTTCTAGGCAAGTGCTCTTACCGCTTGAGCCACTTTGCCAGCCCTCTTTTGTGTGAGATTTTTTTTGAGATAGGGTCTGGAGAACTATTTGCCTGGGCTGGCATCGAACCGCAATCCTGCTGATTTCTGCCTCCTGAGTAGATAGGGTCACAGGTGTGAGCCACTGGAGCCTGGCTTTCATTTTTCTTTTGTTATCATTTTGGAGATTTCAGCATTCTAGAGGCAACATTGCCCAGGTGTTATAAGCTGTAGTTCTTGACCAGTGCGTGCATGAATTTGATTCTCCTCTTCACAGTTTTCATTGTGCCATGGGCCAAGCTTATTAGCCTTAGATAGTTTTATTTGCCTTATTTGTACTGCTTCAGAGGATTGTCGTGAGGACCCAGTGAGATAATCCATGAGCTAATCCATGGTGCCTGGTATCTGTGGTACTAGAATTAATCTTCCTAAGTAGGGGAGAAAAGAAGGTTGCCAGCACAGAGTGATGGTCCATAAATATTGATAGAATTCACTTCACAGAATTCCCATAATAGCCCTATACATTAGATATTGTCCCTGTTTTTATAGAGGAGGGAACTGAATGTCAGTAGTTTGAGTAACTTGCTCAAAGTCACACAGAGAGTAAATAATTTAACAGGTTCTAGGCCAGGTCTGCCTTAGTGTTTGCTCTCTTTATTATACTGTGTTGCTCCCCAAAGTAATACGTCCTGGCCTCTCTATGTTCCCAGTTTCAGGCATTCTGTGTATGCATTCATTCTATGTATCTTTATTTTCTTCTGGATGTCAGACTCTGCTAGATGCTACGGATATGCTTGTGGCTGTGGCCTTATGGATTTGAAGTCTCGTGCAGAAAATAGCAAACAAATGCAAGGCTGGCAAGGCTCCTAAGAGGACATAATATTTACCAAGCTTTCAGGAAGGTGTATTTAAGAAGGTGAGAAGGGGGTACCAGGTAGAGGAATCAGTGTGTGAAGGTTCTGAGTGGCGGGGAGCTTGGATAGTAGAACAGAGAGAAGACTTCAGTGGTGAGCGTTGAGGACAGTGGTGCAAAGTGGGACTGTTGAGGTGGCTGGGGATGGGATCAAGTCAGACCTTGTGGACATGGTGAGGAGTGGGATTATTGCAGTGCAGTCAGGGGTCTTTGGAGGGTTTGGAACAGGGGAGTAACATGATGTGGTTTGTTTTTTAGAACTTCATTTACAGTAGATATTTTGAAAATGACTTGGAGGGATGAAATAGTAGATACCAGGAAGGAGTTTCCTGGAATAGGAAACAGGTGATGAGCTCTGGAAATAAGACCTGGTGGTGCTAGATTTTAAGGTATATTGTAGAAGAAATCTATTTGAAAGTAGAATTCGATGGACTAGATGTGCTCAATGCATAGAAGGAAGGTATCAAGGATACTTCTTTGGTGTCTGGTTTGGGCATCTGGTTGAGGGTAGCGCTATTTGTTAAGATGGGAAAGACTGGGGATCAGATATCAAAAGTTCAGTTTTGTGATTGCTAAATTAGAAAATCCCAAGACACCCAAGTAGAGAACTGGTGATTGTTGGATAGGGAAGTCAGAAGATTAGAGGCAAGATCTGTATTGAAGATAAATACGTGGGAGTTACCCGCATGTCTTCATGATGGACTAGAGGACAAGGCAGCAAAAGGAAGGCAGGTACCATGGCAGAAGTTACCTACTGCTCTGAGATGGGGCAACCCAGAGATTTTAGCCACAGTCTCTTCAACTTTAAAGCTTTGATACTCTCAATTTTGGCCTTAGGCGGCCCCCTCCCCTTCATGTACTGTCTACTTTCTTCCTTTTCATAGATATGCAGTATACGCTACCACCTTAAGAGACAATTGTAAAGCTGGGCATGGTGGCACATGCCTGAATCTTAGTATTGTGAGGCAGAGGAAGGAGGATGGAGAGTTCGAGGCCAGCCTGGACTACATAGTGAGTTTGAAGCCAGTCTGGGACCATAGGAAGACTCTGTCTTGCTGCCCCACACCCCCCAAAAAAAGAGGCAATTGAATTTATAGGCCCTTCATTTACTTTTTCTGTTGTTTTGTTTTGTTTTAGGTTCTGGAGATTGAACCTAGGGCCTCATATATTCTAGACAAGCTTTGTACCACTAAGCTATAGTCTTAGCCCATTCTTTTATGTTGTAGTTCTGCCCCAATGTTAGGATTCATTCTGAATTTTACCTTGAGGGTAGACACTGGAATATCCTTTAACAGGAATTAGAATGGGATAAAGGTACATACTTGGCAAATATAAACAAGGTCCTTAAGAAGAGGGAAGAAATGAAGTCCTTAAGAAGCGGGTTGGAAAAGTTTTGTTGGAGCAAACAGCTAGTTCCTTAGGCATCTTTCACAGTGTGATTAATGTGAGATTACGTGAGATGCCATTCACTCATCATGTTCCAGGGGCATACACTATTTCAGGTATGTGTCAGGCTCTGCTAGAGGCTGCAGATTGCAACAGGAACAAGAGGAGGAAGTGCTGTAACCCACAGGTCTGTGCCGAGAAGGAGGCAGTGCAAAGGAGGACCAGTGCTGAATGTGTTGGCAGAACCTTCATTTCCTGAAAGTAGGCCCTAATTTTCTGTATCATAGCTGTGTATTTTTGTTTGTTTGGGACTAAGCCTAGTCCCAAACAAACTCACTGTCAGCCTGCCCACTGTTGGTGTTATTTTTTTCTGGAGACTACTCCTTTGCATCTTCTCTCTCAAGCACCATAGCTCTGTGGAAGGCTTCTCTATCCCCTAAACACTACTGCTTAGGAGTAGTTATTAAACACCTACTCCACCAGACTGTGCAGTCTCACCTCCTCCCCAGTCCCCTTCCTTTTTAGTTTGTCTTCCAATCGGGACAGTGGTAGATTTTTTTCCTCCTGCCTCAGTCTCCTGAGTACTGAAATTACAGGCCTGTACCACCATGCCCAATTTAGCTTGTATTCTTTTTTGTTTGTTTGTTTCCTTGATTTCAATTCTTTTAGCCTTATTTTTAAAATCATGTTATTATTATATTAGGGGTGCAATGTGACATTTATAAAAGTTCTTACAATGTATCATAGTTGAATTCACCTCTTCCGTCATTCTTATTTATCCTTCTCCCATCCTGAAATAGTTTCAGTATGTCTCATTTTTCCATTTTCATCCATGAGTATATAATATTTCACTACGTTCACCCTCTTACACCCTTTCCTTATATCCTCCCCCCTCTCACTGTTGCCAACCCCAGGCAGGACCTGTTTTACCTTCCTGTTCTCTGTTTTGAAGAAAAGGCATTTTTGTTTAAGATAGCTACACAGGGATTTTCATGTATATATGTATTATAGCCCAAATTGGTTCACTCCTCTATTTTTCTCTTTTTAACCTTAGTCACCTTCTTGCGGTGATTTCAACAGGTTTAAAAATTCTGTATTCATTCTTGTATAGAAAGTACATCAACTATATTTACCTTCTTACCTTGCTTCTTTTATCCTCCCTCTCCTGTTAGTGACCTCCCTTTAGCGTAACCTGGTTTTTATAATGTTGCTTACATTTATATTGTGTCTATCTCCCACATGTAAGAGAAAACATGTGGCCTTTTTCTTTCTGAACCTGGCTTACCTCACTTAACATGAAGTCCTCCAATTGTATCAACTTACTTTCAAACCACATGGTTTCATTTTTCCTTACGGCTGAATAAAACTCATATTATCACATTTTCTTAATCTGTTCATCATTTGTAGGGCATCTGAATTGTTTCCATAGCGTAGCTGTTGTGAATAGTGCTGCAGTACTGCAGTAAACATGGGTGTACAGGTGCTTTTGTTGTAGGCTGACTCACATTCCTTCAGGTATATCCCTCGAGTGGTATTGCTGGATCATATGGAAGTTCTATTTTTAGTTTTTTGAGGGTCCTCCATACTGTTTTCCATAGTGGCTGTACTAATTTACATTCCCACCAGGAGTGTATGAGGGTTCCTTTTTCTCCCCGATTGTATTTATGTATCACACTTACTGATTTGTGTATGTTGAACCATCCTTTCAGAATTTTTGCCGTGATCTTTATTATTTCTTTCTGTCTAGTAACTGGGGATTTGGCTTATCTTTGTTTCTTAATACACTGAGGTGCATCATTAGGTTATTTGACATCTTTCTCGTTTATTTATTTACTTTTTGGTGTGTGTTTGAACTTAGTGCTTCACACTTGCAAAGCAGTTGCTCTACAGCTTGAGCCATACCTTCAGTCCATTTTGCTCTGGTTATTTTGAAGATGGGGGTCTCAGGAACTATTTGCTTAGGCTGACCTGGAACCAAAGTCCTCCTGATCTCAGCCTCCCAAAGCTAGGATTATAGATGTGAACCACCACTATCCAGCTGATAGGTCTTATTTTTCAATGTAGGTGCTCAAAGCTATAAGATTTTACAAGTGGGCTTATTTTACCATGACAGTAGACTATTGGAGGATAAATAATTCTCAGGAAAACACATATTTAAAAACACCTACCCTGTGAATAATGTGATTTCTTACCATCTCACTCACATATCATGCTGCAGCTTTAGAAAGAATTAAAAGTAGTTGTTGCTGTATGCACATGTAACTCTGAAGTTACGATGTTTCTCAATTCTTTATCTGAACTCTATCAGAGAGAGACTTACTGTGCCATTTAGAATAATGCTAAAGGTCAATTAAAAGTGGTCATTTATAACTTTTAAAAGCATAGTGCAGAAAAGCAATCGAAAAACCTAAAAATTTGAATCTAATTGGTAAAATACCCAGTAGTGAAGTATAGTTTGTGCCTTCATATGGAAATATAACTTTTAAAACCCTTATTTGTAAATTATTTCATAGAAGATGAGTAAATTCTTTGTGGTGTTGAGAAATAAATTCTGGACTTATTTTGTGCAATTTTTATTAAAACTTTGCTTTTCTTCTACTAAAAACTTGCTGAGCAGCAACATGATAAGATGTGGTAGGAAGACTGGAGGTAGAACTCAGGGATATAGCCTTCCTAGCATGAAGCCCTAGGTTTGTTTCCCAGCACTGCGTTTAGTCCCTAGCACCACAAAACACACAGACAAACAATCAGTCTTGGAGGCATTCAGTATTAGTTCAAATGGTCAGCAGACTTAAAATTCATACCAGCTTACATGTTTAGATATTTTTTTCTTCCTAGATTCTTGACTATGAAAATCCTAGTGGACAAATAAGTGAACTATCTTATGAAATGTGAGGAATAGGAGAAAAAGTGGGAATTCATTGTGATTAGGAAAAGAGTTTACCCTAAACCATTATCCTTAATAAGTAATTTAAGAATATTTGTAGAATGGAGAGAGATTTACAGAAAGAGATTACAAAGTAATCACGATGTTTGGTGTGATTATGTGTCCTTTGACATGGATGATACAACAGTACTTTCCTGAATAAATTCTTATTTTCTTTACCAGGAAAGAGTATACACAGGCTAATCTGGCCACACGGGCAGTAGGGCAGTTCTGATAGAGGATTCACAAGACATGAAGCTTGGGCATTCAGCACTGTTGATGGGATCAGAGACATTTGAGGCCAAGTGGCAGAATGTGGTGGAAGGATGGCATCGGTCAGAGTCTGCTGAGGTCAGGCTGGGCTAGGGAAGAGGATGGAACTCCAGGGAAGGATAAGTGACTAATGTCTCATGGGCATTGGAAGCAGTTGTACAATAGAAGCAGTTGTGATCCACACTGGGAATTAGGCCTTGTTTTTTGAGTCACACTAGGTTACTGAAGACCATGGAGGTAGATGAACAGTGGCCAGGGCAAGTATCAGTTTAAGACGACCCCCCCACTGGATAGATTAAACATAAGGTGAGTACTGGGTTTCTGGATCAGAAGATCGAGGGAGATGCCTGTCTGTGTTCTGGGTAGTGCTTTTGGAGAGGAGTTGGCTTAAAGCTCTGTGATGACTGGGCTCTGGGCAGCACGTAGGCTGCAATCAAGGCTCTCCAGTCATGCTGTTACCCAACTGCAACACTTGAACTCTTTCTGACAAAGCCTTGCTGTACTATTTACATAATGCTCAGGTCAAGAGGAAGGACATGGACCAAGTCCAGAATCTTTATGCAGCACTTGCTATGTCAGGCACTGTTGTGAGTATTTTATGTGTATTTCTCCATTTATTCCTCCCAAAAATCAACTTAGGGAGACAGGCATTGGCTTGCAGAGGTTCTACTTAAGCAGTAAGACAGTAGGAAGGACTGAGTCTGACATGTTTAAACATGCGATTCTGGTGTTCTCCAAACATTAGCAATCTTGGACACTAAAGTTTATCTTCCTTAGTGTTTTATGGGCCATGACCATCTATTGTTGATGACACTTGTCCCAGATAACTCTCACTCTGGCTCTCTCTTGCACCTTTTCTAACTTTTCATAGCTTTTATTGTTTACACACATTTCATCTTTTGATTATATATTACATGTCTTCTTTGTTTTTTGCAAAAACTTGTTTACAAATTGTTTAGGATGTGTTAAGTTTTGCCTTATCGACAAGCTTCTGGAATTCTGTATTGCTTTATTGTAAATAATCCAGTAAATTCATATGATATATTCTATATTTTCCTTTTATTTTTTTCAGTGTACATGTTGGTAATAACTCTACCACTGAGCTACATCCCCGCCCTCCTGTACCTTTCTTTCTACTTTGACTTTAATCAAGCTGTAATCAACTGTTAAGAAACTGGTAACATATTCTACAATGTATGAAATGATATTTCTTTTGCTTTCCACAGGGCAAACTCAGAAAATGAATCTTTTTCAGTCAATAACAAGTGCCTTGGATAACTCATTGGCCAAAGATCCTACTGCAGGTAAACTTCATTCGTGCAACCATGGTAGCTGTGTTAGTTCCAGAATGGAAGATTTGGTTGGAATATTTCTCTAGAGTATAATGGTTAACATTACATATACTGAAACTTTTTAAAGATTTTGATCAAATGATTAAGGCTAAATGATAGAATTGATTGCAATATGAAGACATTTTTAATTCACTCATTACGAGTTTCATGTAATGTCAACATTAAGTTAACTTCATAGTATGTGTGGTCCTAATATGATATTAATACCTTCTGGATTAATACCTACTGTGTACTCCTGTATCTCTAGCATAGAGAAACACAGAGAACACCACTTCAGATACTTAGTCATGACATGAAGATTTGATTTCTCTACTTTTTTCACTTTTTTTACTTTGTCATTCAATTTATAAGACTTTTGTGGAAAAATAATGTTAGCATTTATAAATAATTTCATAGGCAGCTTAATTTTCATCTTTTAAATGATTGATATAAAAATAGTCTTGCTCTGTTTTCTAAATTTGGTTGGCTTAACTTTGTACATGCACACATGTGTGTATATATATATGTACATATCTATCTAGCTATCTAGCTATCATCTATCTATCTATTAGTAAATGTTGGGATTCCACTTTAGAATTCTTTGCTTTCAGGTGAAGTGAGAAGCAGGTTATTTTTCACGAGGAAGTGAGAGGTAGACTAGACAATGGTTAGACTTGATTTGTGTTGAATGCTCTGAGAATGACAGAATAAGATGCATGACACATAGATGAGGGTTATTTTCTCAAAGTCCATGAAACCATTAGGTGCATTCGTGGGACCAGAGTTCAGCTCTGAGTACCTCTAGCTTTATTTTCCTGGACTTAACTGTAAAGCTCCTTTCAATTTCCAGTCACCCAATCTTTCCCTTGTTCACTATGTCCTACTGTACTTGTCTTCTTTCTGTTTCACGCAGTTCAAGTCCCTTTCTTATTTGAAACCCTTCCCTTAGCTCCTCAGTTGGCTCTGACTGTATACTATGATAAGAAATCTGTTGAGCTGGGAGCCTGGAGTATGTCACAGTTTTACTGCTAACTGTCTGCCTCTACAATTTCTCTGGCCTCATTTTCTTCATGGGTAAATCACAGTGAGATTTTAGATTGTGGTACTGTCTCAGCCAGACGTTATTTCAATCCCCTCCATCTTCTCATTCTTTTAGTAGTGTCTGGAGGAATTTTGGTTGTCACAACTGTGTGTGTGTGTGTGTGTGTGTGTGATAGGGCAGCTGTCATCCAGTGGGTAGAAACCAGGGGTGCTGCTGTATGTGTACAATGTACAGGAAAGGCCCTATAACAAAAGAATTATCCTGTGCAAAATGTCAATAATGTTGAACTGAGAAGCCTTGATCTATGGTCTATTTCTGTTTTATGATTTAAAACATAACCATTTAAATTATTTGTTTCTTCTGCCTAGTATTATTTAGGAATTTTTAAATAAAACGTGTTCTTTAATTAAACATTGTCTTTCAGTAATATTTGGTGAAGACGTTGCCTTTGGTGGAGTCTTTAGATGCACTGTTGGCTTGCGAGACAAATACGGTAAGTTAATATCTATATGAACAGTAGTCCTGCAAAACTTTTACTTAAAAATCTTGAAAATATAAAACATGCCTGTTAAATTGCCATGTTCTTATTGCATGGATTGGTTCCTTTTCCTGCAAAGTCCTATGACGCAGGTTTCTCAATGTTTTCTAACTCTAGCCTTCTCTGATGTAGCTCATATTATACCTGTGATATGGTAGAGATTCCAAAATAATTTTGCTAACTCTATTGTGTCATTTATCTATCCAAGACCCTTTGGTATCTTACTGCTAATGACCTTAGCCAATTTCCGTTCCATTGCCTCTCGTTCAAGATTCTGCCCGTTGGTCCTTGTTAATTGTTTGCATGTTTTGTTGGGGGAAGAGAGATTTATTTTTTAAAAAATTGGCTCATGTGATTGTGAGGGCTGGCAAGTGTTTAGGGCAAGCTGGTATGCTGGAACCTCAGGCAGGGTTTCTGTGTTTCAGTCTTGAGGCCAAATTCCTTTTGAAGCGGAAATCTTAATCTTTCCTCTTTAAGTCTTAAATGGATTGGATGAGGCCCACTCACATTGTGGGTAATCTGCTTTACTCAAAGCTATTAATTTAAAAGTCAATCACATCTAAAAAATACCTTCACAGCAACATCTAGACCTGTGTTTGACCAAAAACTGGGTGTTTTGACCTGACCAAATTAACATAAAATTAATCACTCCTCCCCTTCTACCTCTTTCATCCCAGTGGCTCTGAGCTTTTCGCCTGATAGGTGATTTATGTTTATCTTGTTGACTTTTATTCATTTCCTTTGTCTCCTTGGACATAGAATCATCTGAATACATTTTGGCCCATCCTCTTAACTCCTACCCCTTTGATTTGCTAAAAAGTACTTTTACATTCTTTACTGTTAAGGATGCCTTTGACGTGGTTTTGACATTTTATTTCTTCTCTCACTTTTGTCTAGAAGTCAGCAAAGCAATTGTATTTAAGGTTAAGAGGAGCTGACATCTCCTTTGCTCCTGTCCTCTCATGCTCAGTTGGTACACTGGGTGAGGACTGAGGGTCTTAAAGAGGTTTTAGTTTTGTTTTTAAATTGTCCTCTCTTTCCCTACTGCTTCTGTGGTTATGTTGTATTTAAATACAAGAAACCATGCTGTATTCCATTTTCCTTACTTTCAGCCTGTTCTTTTCTCTTCTAGTCATAACAAATTGAGTTTCTGGGTCCAGCCCTTCTGATTTCTTCTGGCTATCCATTGTAAGAGGTATTCAGAGTTGAAATAGTTGGTCAAAAGTTTATAAGATTACTCTCCTGTTTATCCAGATTCCTTTAGATTTTTTTCTTTGGTTTAGAACTGGGCTTTGAATTCAGGGCTTTGTGCTTGTGAGGCAGGCACTCTCCCACTTGAGCCATGCCTATAGCCCTTTTTGCTATTGTTATTTTGAGGTCTCACTTTTTATCCAGACTGACCTGGAACATGATCCAACTATTTGACGCTCCCTGTGTGGCTGGAATGACAGTGCATGCCACCACACCCTGTTTTTTCCATTGACATGGGATCTTGGGAACTTTTTTGTCTGGAGTTGGCCTGGATCCTCCCTGATCTCAGTCTCCCAGATAGCTAGGATTATAGGTGTGAGCCACTGTGTTTGGCTAGATTCTTTTAGATCTTAAAAAAAAAAAAATTTAAAAACTTTTATACATTTTATTTACAAAGTAATGCATATGCATTGTAGAATATTTTGGGAAGACTGAAAGCCATAAAGGAGAACATAAAATTTTTTCATTATCTAGAGATAACCTAGAGGAAACCACTGTACATATTTTGGTATTTCTGGACCATATTTGAATATGTTTGTGCACTTTAATATTTAAAGGGCAGCATTATACTTTGTTTTCTTTTTTAACAGATCTTGTTTGAAGCTTAGGGTGGCCTTGAATTCACTATGTAGCTCATGGTGGTAATCTGAAAATCATAGTCCTTGTGCTGCAGACTCCTCAGTGCTGGGATTATAGGCATGTACCACCACACCCGGATGAATTATACTTTCTTAGCTTAGTCTTTTCTCTGTCTGGTGTGGCAGTGATTCTCCTGAGGACGGACTGTCTTGCTTGATGCAGTGTGGTAGCCTGCGTGTGCTCGTTTGAGCCAATGAGCCCTCTGTCCTCACTCATGGCGCTTTTCTTATTATATCCAGCCTGCCTAGGGTATTTCATCCACATCACCTGCTCCTCACACGCTAGCAATTTCTGGGATTTCTTTTTTTTTTTTTCTTTTTGTTTGTTTTTGCATTATTGGGGATTGAACCCAGTGCTTCACTTGCTTGGTAGGCAAGTGCTCTACCTCTTGAATTATACCACTAGCCTTTTTATTTATTTATTTATTTTTTGAGATGGGCTCTCAAGCTAACTTTGCTGGGCTGGTCTCAAACTCTTGATCCTCCTGTTTCTGTTTCCCTAGTAGTTGACATTATAAACATTCATGACCAGGTTCAGCATGCAACTTCTGAATTTCTGTCTTTAATCCTGACCTGTATCTTGAGATGCAGATCTGTAAATTCACTATTTCACTACATAGCTGTACCTCAGTGTCCCCGCAGTCACATAAAAGGCAGCTTTTCCAAAGCTAAATTCATTACAACCACCCAGTGAATCCTTTGGTGAATATATCACCACTCATTTAGGTACACAAGCCAGAAACCCAGGGTTTCCTTGTGTCTTCTTATTCTCCATGCCCAGTCAGTCCTGAAATTTTATCTTCATAGTTTGTCTTTAATGTGGTCTCTCCATTCTTATTACCCTGATACAGGGTGATTTCATTTCTTTTCTTAGCAATCACCCTTCCTTTGGTCTTGCCCTCCCTCAGTCCATTCCCTACTTTGCTGCAAGATTATTCTAAAACACACATTGCTTAGCAGGACACGCAGAAGACTTTAAGATCTAGCTAGCTGTCTGACTGTATCACTGTATTCTTTATGAATTTTGAATTGCTGGATGCTTCTCCTAAGGTCTGCATCATTGTGCACATCTGTCTGGATCTCTGCCTCTCATCTGGTTACCTGGCAAACTCTTATTTCGCCTTCAGAAGGTTTCCCTGTGAAGTTTTTCCTGACTCTCCAAGCAAACTCAGATACTATTTTATTATTGGTTAGATTGTATCTAACATCTTGCAAATTATACCGTAATTATTTCCCTGTCATTTTCCCTACCAGACAGCTTCAAAAGCAGCAGATCTTTAATTATTTTGGTTTGTCTAATCTAAAAAAAAAAAAAAAAAAAAAACCAGATTTCCTCTCCAAATAAACTAAAATAGGGAGAAACTAACTTGAGAAAAGATTCATTCTTAGAGGGCACCTGCATATTTATGTCCATGCATCAGGGGGCTGAGCAAATTTTAATGGCTAATTCACTCTTTTTGCCTTACTGTCAGTAGCTGCTGTGAATTTTTTTTACAGTAGCTTGAGGATTTTGAATTCAAAACTTTAAAAATTACAACTTGATCAAGATGGATAATTAAGTTACCATTACTCTCTAATGAGCAAGTGAGCTTCTGTTTTCAGAAGATAAAGGAATGGTGACCGGAAATGTCTATTAAAGTTTTTTTTTTGCATATTTTAAAAAATCTCATGCATATCTCAGTCATGGTACAAAATGAAACAGAAGAAAAATATATAAAACCTGACTTCTAAAACATATTTCTTTTTTCCTTTATAATCTTTGCTCTTTTTAGTGTAGGTTGGGAATTTTTAGTTCTACAGAAGCATGTCTGTTTAGCATTCTTTTTCTAAGTTAAAAGAATTTATGTTTAAAAGAACTAAAAAATTTTAATGATTTAGTTGAATGCATTGCATAAAATTATTAGCAAAGAAAACTTTGTGAGGGGGGAGGAGCCTTGCTTCCCTGAACTTGAGTGTGGAGTAAGAAGGGATCCTGGTCGGTAGGTGGCAGTCTGTGCTTTGTCATGAGACCATGCTTTGGCTGTGTACCAGAACTCAGGAAATATTGCAAAGCATTTAATATCCCGTCAGAAGGCAGAATTGGAAGGACTGCAGGTTTGCTGACATAATATTTGAAAGCTGAAAAATGCTTAATATGAAAATGAAAGAATTGCATAATTAGATGCTATGCCATCAAAGAGGGAGACAGCTATTTGCATTCCAGTTGATCCAAATGAATGTGGGTTTAGCACCGCTAAACTGCTTCCCCATGCCTTCCATTATTTTGTTCTATCAGAGGACAGGGAAGGAGTACTAACGTGAGTGTCTTGAAAATGAAGAAGAATAGAGTATGCTGAACAATTCATTGTGTACCAATGTCAGTGTTAATCTCTTTAAGTATTGGATCCGTTGATCGGAGCAACAGTTGGGGCTTGGGGAATTTTAGGGAAGCAGAGAGAGGGAGAGGGGAGCTTGTTAGTAGATCTGTAGGGCATGTGTGATTTTGTGTTCAGTGTTCATTTATACAGCACAATCTGCCCTCACTACTGTCAATTTCTGTATGAAGGTGTGTGTGTGTGTGTGTGTGTGTGTGTGTGTGTATGTGTGTGTTCAAGAAAGACTGGGGTGTGTCAGGTTCAAGGTGTATTTATATTAACACTATTTTATACTGATATAAACATTGTTGGGCCGTGGTTCTTAGACTGTATTTGGCCCACTGGACAGCAGGAACTTAAGTGAGAAAGGTAACAGTACAGAACTTGCTGAATGAGTCTATAGGCCTGAACATCTGCCTATTCCCAGGCCCTACCCTTTTTCCATTGCTATATTCATTCCTTTACACCACAAGTGTGGCTGTCATAGTAGTTTGGGTTACTACTATAACCATTTGCTTTGTTCTGTAAACAGCACAGAAATTGTATAACCAGATACTTTAGCATGGTGAAGTCAGAAAGGAAAACTAGGAGAGGCGTGTGGTGAAGGCAAATTTTCATCTGCAATATGCCAGTATTTGGGAAGTGACATTGGGCCTCAGTGTCCTCTTCAATTAGGAAAAAAAGCAGATTAAACTCTGGAGAGGTCTACATA